GAGCCGCGCCGCCGCGCTTCCTTCTCAGCTGCCGCCGCGGGCGCTGCACGGCCCCCTCCTCCTCCTCCCCCTCCTCGTCGTCCTGGCCCCACTCTGCCTCGAAATCATCAAACTCTTGCTCGGGCTCCTGATCATTGTCCTCGGCAGCGCCCTGTGCCTCCTCGTCGGTCACCAGCTGCCGCCTCGTCCTAACAAGGCGACGCCCGCGGCGCGCGCCCGCGCCGCCCTCTGGGCCGTCGTCATCCGAATCGAGCCTGCGCCGTACCGCGCGCCGCCCCTCCGCCGCCGCGCGCCGCGGCTGGCGCGCGGCCGAGCGGGTGCGCCTGCAGCCGGCGGGCATGCTGCCGAGCGGCGCGTCGAAGCCGTTGGCGGGCAGCGGGGCGGCGGGCGTCCTGTTGGCGCGGGGGACGGCCGCCGGCGTCTTGGCGTTGCGGCCTGGGAGCGAGGTGACAGCAGAAGGTGCGCATTCAACACCGCTTGTGCATGCAGTTGAGGAGAGTCTGAGCAGCCCCAGCCCCCGCAGGGGCAGCAGCAGCAGCAGCAGCGGCAGCGGCAGCACGATGCTTGCTCTATGCGTGGACAGGCTGCAGCACGGACAGGCGTCCTTACCACAGGGTGCTTGCGTGCCGACCGACTCGAGCGCCCGTGAAGACGTCCAACAAAACCCGACCATGGCACGAGCATGAGCACAAGCATGCAAGCACCGCCTCACCGCGTTTGCGGGCGGCCGGGAGCTGCTCCTCAGCCTCGTCCTCATCCACCGCCATGCCATCCTCGTCCTCCTCCTGATCCTCCTCCTGACCAGCCTGCTCATCCTTGACCAAGCGCTGTCGGCGCTGAGTCTGGGGCGCCTGAAAATTCAGTGCCAGCAACAGGAGAGAGAGTGTGTGTGTAGGGGGGGGGGGGCAGGAGGGTGTGCACGCATGCGCACATGCGTGCCTCTCAACTGGGTCCACACCGGCAAACATTTCGCGCGCCCTCGCCTTGCGCGCGTGGCTTATGTCGAGGCGCGTCGCGCTCATGCAACAAGATTGAGAGCATCTGCTGTTGCTGGGTGCCGGCCATGCTTTTGCTGGGTGCCCAGCAGCTCAATGACACGCACACAAAGCCGCTCCATCATCTCATGCACCAACACCCTCACGTTTAAGTCGATGTTTGCAAGCGGCGCCCTGGCATTGCTGCCGCGCGCAGCTTCGCCGCCGTCCCCGTCAGCCGCCGCCTCGTCCGCGGGGTCGGCACCCGCAGGGCCCCTCCGCGCTGCGGCCACGGCATCAAACAGCTTCTGGCGGATCGAGAAGTTCTTGATGTCCAGCTCGTTCTTTAGGGTGGTCACGAACACCTCGAAATCATCTGGAATGCCCAGCAGGACCGCCCCCGTGAGGTCCTCGTCATTGTCTGCCAGCTTCTGGATGACTGCGCCGTGTTGTTGATTTTTGGTGCAGACGATGTGAGTCACTCGTATGCAGGTGTTACGCTCATCGACAATGGGTCATTTTGTTGCTTTATACAGCAGTGAGACTCAACTTTGGGTGCCCCACGTCGCAGATGCCCACAACCGCCACGCACCCCGACAGGCAGCATTGGGCAGCCGCGCGGCCAAGGTTGCAAGCGGCGCGTCATTACGCACGCGGCTAGATGCCTGCAGCGCCGATGACCCAAGCAGCTCCACAGCCGTCCCCTCACCCTTCTCGACCTCGTGCGGCGTCAGCACGCCCGCCATCCAGGCCTTGACCCCCTCGTAGTCGGTGTCCCGTGAAAGCGGCGCGGCGCCGTTGTTGACATTCGCCTCAGCCATCGCTCAGGGACGCGCAGCGCGAGCGATGCACAGTGAGGTGCCTGGAGATACTCCGACGTGAGCCTTGCAACGGCTCGAGCAAGCCGCGCAAGGAGTGTGCACCGTGACGAACTCAAGATCGCCGATCAGGGGCTCAATAGCGCATTTGGGCGAACCACAGATCGAAGCAATTATAATAAAAGCACTGCAGCTTGGTTCCAGGTGCGCTTAGCATCCCAATTTCGAACTCGGGGTGCTGGTGATCCCGTGTCACCCGGTCATGAGCCAAGTTTGATCGCCGTAACGATACTATGATACGGTAGCACGACAGCAAAACTGTCTTCTTGGTCGGTCAGGTCGGCGCAGCAGCATGGACGGCATCCATTGAGCCGGGGCCAACTGCAGTACTGCACGTGCAGCACTGCAGTACACAAGTGTCACACCTGGCAGCACAAGCATTTATCCAAATTCCACGTGCCCCGGGCGCCATTGTATGCACATCAGTGGTGCTGCCGCATGTTCTAGATTGGCGAAGGGCGACTCCTGCTGGCTAGCATGCCCAGCGAGCAGCGGCGGTGCTGCTGCATCATCGCTGGCCAAACTGCTGCAACCACACCCCAGCATGCCGCCGCGCCAGGCACATGTGACGATGTGACGCAGCGGCGTCTGCTTTAGCGCCCAACAGCACCGCACGTCGCGCCTCGATGCCTGCGAGGTGGATTGACGGTCAGTGCGTGACTGTTCAGACAGCCTTTGAGGGTGCAGAGCCGCCACCACGCAGGGACGGATGCGTGTGCGGTGTCAGAGGACGTGTTACTGTACAACACGGTAGCCTGCACACAGACCAGGACCTTAGCAGTTGACTGCTTTTCCAGGTGCCCACCCAACTGCACGCCAGGTCTGCTCGGCCTGACCGACACCGCCGCGTGCCGCCGGCTCATCTCGTCATCTGTCGCTGGCTCACTCACACAATAGCTAACCGGGCCTTGCTCAGGCCCAGGCTGCCAACCAGGAACTGCCCACAAAACATGCGGCTTGTCCATCAGTTATCTTGAGATTGCAGCATCCCGCAAAGAGTTGTTTGTGTGCACGTATTAGATGTTGTTTGCTTGACCATTGTCACCAATATGCACGCTAGCCATATGGTGACACGATGACGACCTCCTCATGATGCAGGCTACTCCATGCTGGTACTGTAGTGACACTGTTGTTACCATCTTACGTACCAACACTGGTGTCATCGCTCTTGTTGTTGTTGTTGTTGTTGTTGTTGTTGTTGTTGTTGTTGTTGTTGTTGTTGTTGTTGTTGTTGTTGTTGTTGTTGTTGTTGTTGTTGTTGTTGTTGTTGTTGTTGTTGTTGTTGTTGTTGTTGTTGTTGTTGTTGCTGTTGTTGTCGTTGTTGTTGTGGCCAAGGCTGGTGTGCCCGAGGCTGGTGTGGCCGATGCTGTTGTGGCTGAGGCTCAGGCTGTTGTGGCTACGGCTGGCGCTGTTGCCAATGCTGGTGGTCATGATGGTAGGATTCAGTTGTGGGTGGTGGTTTGGATGTCAGTGCTACCGTTGCTGCGCGGCTGCTGCTGCTGATGTAACGGCCGTTAGAGCTGCGAATGCTGCTGGCTGGCTGCTGCCAGCTGCTGCTGTTACAAAAAGTGCGTAGCTGCTGCTGCGGCCGCTGCCGCAGCTGCTGCTGCCATAGCTGCTGGCAGCTGCTGAAGCCGCAGATGCTGCGGCGGCATCTGCCGCGGCCGCAGCTGCTGCTGCTGCTGCTGCTGCTGCAGCTGCTGCCTGCAGCGGCCAGCAACTGCTACCCGCATCCTGCCCGCAGCAGCCAGCAGCTGCTGCCCGCATCGCAGGGCAGCAGCTGGCTGCCCCTGCTGCCGTCACTGCTGCTGCTGCTGCTGCTGCTGCTGCTCCTGCTCCTGCTGCTGCTGCTGCTGCTGCTGCTGCTGCTGCTGCTGCTGCTGCTGCTGCTGCTGCTGCTGGCGGTGGTGCTGCTGCTGCTGCTGCCGCTGCTCCTGCTGGTGGTGATGCAAATTTCACTGCTGCACACGCAGTGCGAACTGCTACTGCGAAGTAAAGGTGTGTGCAAAAATCACGGTTTTTTTTGATTTGATTTGTTACAATCGTCGCAAAAATCACGGTTTTTTTTTGATTTGATTTGTCAC